GGGGGGTTGGAGGTCAGGGGTCAGGGGTCGGCAGGTACCCACTTGCCGTCAGCGAGGTTGATGCCCCGGAAGAGCGGGTAGTCCTCGGGGGCGGGCCGGCCGCTCTGGTCCTGGTAGAGGAAGACGGGCGAGCGCCCCAGCTCCACGCCCAGCTGCTGGGTGCCGTGCTGGTCGTACATGGAGAGCAGGAACGCCTGGGTCCCGGCCTTGGCTTTCACCAGGGCCATGATGGAGAAATCCTCCGGGAACTTCCCTGGGGAGACAGCAGGGGCTGTGGGACCCGGGGGGGGGGGGGGGGGTTCGGGGGGCAGGACACTGGCGGGTGCAGGGACAGCCAAAGGGGGATGTAGGAATGTTCCACTAGTGACACAGGAGGTGTGGGAACATCCCAAGAGGGCGTGGGAATGTTCCATTAGTGACATGGGGGTCACAGGAATGTTCCATTAGGGACATTGGGGTGTGGGAACATCCCAATGGGGATGTAGGAAAGTGGGGGTGGGCACACAGAAATGTTCCACTAGTGACACAGGAGGTGTGGGAACATCCCAAGGGGCGTGGGAATGTTCCATTAGTGACGTGGGGGTCACAGGAATGTTCCATTAGGGACATTGGGGTGTGGGAATATCCCAATGGGGATGTAGGAAAGTGGGGGTGGGTGCACAGGAATGTTCCACTAGTGACACAGGAGGTGTGGGAACATCCCAAGGGGGCGTGGGAATGTTCCTCCAGGGACACAGGAGGTGTGGGAACATCCCAAGGGGCGTGGGAATGTTCCATTAGTGACGTGGGGGTCACAGGAATGTTCCATTAGGGACATTGGGGTGTATCCCAATGGGGATGTAGGAAAGGGGGTGGGTGCACAGGAATGTTCCACTAGTGACACAGGAGGTGTGGGAACATCCCAAGGGGGCATGGGAATGTTCCACCAGGGACACAGGTGGGTGCGGGACCATGCCGTGAGCTGGGGGGCGTGGGACCAGCCACGGAGGCGGGGGGAGCCTGTGGGAACAACGCCCGTGGGCCGTGGGAAGGGCACGGCTGATGGAGGACACAGGGAGGGGGAACACGTCGCAGGACAGGGAGGGGGTGGACTATGCCATGCGGGTGGGGGGGGGGGGGGTGACCTGGGCCCCGGAGAAGAGCTGCCTGGTGGGGGCGCTGATCTGTGCCTGCCGTGATATCCTGTAGGCCACGTCCGGCCCCGTCCCTGTCCGCCTGGCGGGGCAGAGCCCCGTCGTCTTCCGCACGCCGGCCGGCTGGGCCTGGAACTGCAGCGCCTTCAGCACGTCCACCGGCTCTGCTGCGGGACACGGGGGGGTGTCAGAGCTCTGCAAACAGCCCCCACCTCCCCGACAGGGGCCCCCTCCCCAGCCACACAGAGCTCCCCAGTTCTGGGATCACATGAACTCACCCCCCCCCACCCTGCAGCTACCAGGGTCCCCCCCTCCAGCCGTTATTCCCATTCCCTGCTGAGCCTCTCCACATTCAGCCCCCCCCAGCCTATGAATCCCCCTCCCCATGAGAGTCCTTCTGCCCTGGGGGCTGAGCTGGGTGGGTCAGGGACGCGATGGAGGAATGCCCGCAGAGCAGGCAGGCCTGGCTGCATGGAAGTGGGTGTCTGGGCAGCTAAGGGCGGCTGGCCGTGGGTGCAGGAGATGGGGTCGCCCCGCCCAGGTGCACTGGAGGCCGACTATCGGACTCCTGGCTGGGG